TTGTGAGGGTTGTATTATTGGTATAATAAAGCTGAAGTTGTGAAACTGGAAAAAAAGGGGGGGATTGTGATACGATGCAATCAGAAGTTAATATACTTCGCATCTTACTATTTTTTTTAAGCTAGGTATGTATGCATGAGCTTTCTTTGACCAGTGTAAAAGCAATGAGGACTTTTCTATGTTCTTATATTCCTCCTTTCAAAAATTCTACTTTTGCTGGTGTATTGGTGAATTTATACTAACTTAATGAATTACCTTGTCTAAATTTCAATTTGTGAAATATGAAATTCCCACACGTAACATACTAGCGTTCTTTTATACCTGTTGCTGCTTTGTCAGAATTTTTCTTATTCTGCACCAAAGCAAAGTTACTAGCACATGCTTTGAATAGGATAAAGAGATAAGCAGCTTGTGATCATCGTTGACCATCACAAAACCTTGATTTTGCTAGAAAACTAAGATGTACGGTTATGTATTTAGTAAGCAGATAAAGGAATGTCTAATTTGAATGTATGTTCCTGTCGTCCTTCAGGATTTCTCAGCTACCATATGGCAACTGACAGAAAGCATATAGTGGCTTGTTTGAGCTGCATGATGAAATGATCAAACACAAATACCGTTCTTAGAGAGGAAAAAATTGCATATGGCTGCTTTTTCTTTTTAAAAAAAAAAAGTCAAAAGCCCTTTAAATATCCATCTGTTTAAGGAAGATAACACATAACTAACTTTTTCAATCCAGAGAAGTTTACATCTAAATTGAATTTTGAGTCAGAATATTTTTGTACAAAAAAGAGGCCAGAAATATGTAGGTTTGCTGGGATACAGGGAGAACTGGTTAAAGTTATGAAGAAATGGAGTGGTGAGTCTTATAACTCATTTTCAAAGAAATCTAAAGCTTTTGGAAAATGCTGGGCCCTGAAATTCATGATTATAAAATAAAAATTGACTGTGTAATAAAGTGGCTTGATATTATTAATCTCATAAGAGATAAGCATAGATTTACAGAGATTACTTCCTAACATAATCATTTCTGGTGTTTATTAGAATACTTCAGGATGTAACTGGTAATGGTGAATGCAGTAGAACTTGTATCTATATTTGGATACCTTTTGAAAAATTCTCCATAATAGGATTTTGCTTATGGTTTAGGCTGTAGGTATTTAAAAAAAAAAACAAAAAAAACCTGAGCATTGGAGTTCACTGAAAAGATATCAAATGATTTTTGGAAATATTAGGTTGTTCAACGGGGACAGAATTTATTTAGAATTTACCTAGAATAGTGAGAATATAATGAGGAAAAAAATGTTGATTTGGAAATGAATTCAACTTTCTTTTCCTATTAAGAGTTCAGAGAGCAGGCTGTTACTCCTTTTGTATGCCTAGTGCACATAAAATGTTTCTTTACATCCTGGAGTTCTGAAAAAATCTTGATACAGAGTTGTCTTGCTTGTTATTGTGCTTAGCTGCACTGATCTCATCTTTTTTTTTTTTTTTTTAATTTCTAGGGAGTTTGAGTTAACTTTTAATTTGCAAGTATTTTTGCTTTTTATACCTTATTTTTGAGCTTTTAAAACCGTTTAGTTTTTATGGCTTTCTTGGACAATCCCTCTTCCCACCTTATTTCCTCTTTACATTTGGATTAGAGCAATTTCTTGTACACTTTTAGATGTGTTACTTTATTGCAACAGAAATAAGACAAGATTTTCCTAAAAGTTTTTTTTCTATGTTTTTCTACTGCGGAAGATTCCTAACCTATATCCAGTCTTAATCCCTGCTTTATTACACTGAATAGCGGAGCATGTAAGGATAGGTGCCTGTGCTGGAACTGGCAGTGGAGATAATGGTTAAATAATCGAGGTAGCACCTCTCAGGAGTGCCTGCGTTTCTGAGGGCTGTACAGTGGCTGCTGGGAACTGCAGACTGAGCTCGGCAAGCACTATGTCCTTCTGAGACCTGCTCAGCACTTAGTAGAGCAGTCCTCCATTCACTCTGAAAGTCTTTGCAAGCTTCCTTCAAGTAAACTTTGTTGTGTAGCTTGGAGTTACCTACCATATGAATGAAAAATTTTTTGCAGAAAAAAGCAAGGCAGCTTCCCAGGGACTGGGTGTTCTTCAGAAGATGTGGTCCCTAGGCCTGTTCGTAATGCATTCACCTTCCTTTTTAAAAGGATATTAAATAATTTTGGGTACATGGGTTTGAAAAAAAGTGAGGAGGTAACAGCGCACCAAGCCTGCTTTTAACACAGTTGTTGAAGTATCAAAGAGAGTATGAACACCAGCACAGGTATTTCTAAGGTGAAAAGAAAAGTGTTAGTAATTGTGCACAGGCAGATCACAAGTTGTGGATGTACATGTGGACTGTATGTCTTGAGGAACTCCTAGTTGCTCTGGGATTACTTGCCAGTTGTTAAGGAAGTATTCTTCATAATAGTTTACATTTTAGGTTCTCTAATTCATCCTGCTAAAGGGATTTTACTTTCCTAATTAACTGCAGAAAGAGCCTGGAGCAACTCGCTAGCCTGCCTCAGCTCAGAGTAACCTTTGTTAACACCTTTCCTTCTGTGTCTGCCTTAAAGCTTTGCGTGGCACTTTTGCTAAATAATGTCCAAGTTAATGTATTTAAAAAAAAAAAAAAAAGTCATCACATGGCCTGACAACATAGTAAAACCATGGGTAATACAGCTAATTGGGACATTGCATCTAGAAAGTATAGTCTTGGTAAAATAAACATTCTATTTATCTTTTCTCCTCAGAAAAATGTTTAGAGAACAAATAGTTAATTGAGCCACAATAATCTTGTTCTTAATTGATGTAGGTAAAAATGTCATTGCTTTCCTGATAACATGTGGAGCTACTGCTTAACTTCAGGCAAGCCACTTTGGTAGCAAGCTTTACTTTTTTTTTCCCTTTTTTCTTTTTTTTTTTTTTTTTCAATGAATAGTAAATCTTCAACAATTTGCTGTTGACAAACAACAAAACTGTATGTGCTAGTTTTGTGTTTGTTCGGGGATTGGGGAAGAAAGACAGACTAATTCTTGGGCATCTACCTATGACTTGTCATCCTTTTACTTTTCTTACTGTTTGAAATAGCCTTGCCCAAATCTTAAATTATTCTGATATCCACGTAGCTTCCCAGTTATTGCTTCCTTCCTACATTCTCAGATCATTATCATCTTAGTGCCGTATGAAAATGTCATTTTGTTTGTTTGCTGTTAGCCAGTAATGTAGCACAGTGCAAGCGGGAAACACGATTGTTGTGTAGAACTCAAAGGAAAAGAAAAACTCGCCTTCTTGCACTTACGCTTCTACAAGATTGCACAGAAAAGATTGCTGAATTCTGTCAAAATTTTAGAGAGCTTGCTTTTGGAAACCCTGCTCGTGTCAAATGTACGAGGGTTCTGGTTTGATTTCTCCCCTCCCCTTTTTTCTACCCTCAGCAATCTGAATTGTAACAGAGGCATCTGGTCGCTCCAGGACTAACCCTATCATGACATTAGACTTAATTGTGGTAGTTTTCGATTTTGAACAAAGCCTAAAATGTTATCTCAGCCTTTGGTTTATTCATTACTTTTCTTCCTTTTATTGTTAAGTATTCTCTCTGCTTTCCCCAGTTCAAATGTTGTATGATACTGGTATGATACTTAGTTTGACTTAATAAGCTACTTCACACAACACAGCTTATATTATCGCAGATCAGTGTGAAGATGTCTGCATGGTTTTGTTTGAGGCTTGCTCTGTCCAGCCTTCACATCATCCAGGCCTCTGAACTGCAAATATCTCAACTCTGCAGTGTTTAACGTTCACTGTAGATTGAACGGCTTCATCGTGATTAGAGAGTTAGAGCTATACTCCTGACTTGACAGTGTTTTGATGTCTTTTATACGTCTAACGTATTGGATAGCATGTTTTTGCTTTTTTCTAATAAGAAAAGATAGGGTACTTGTGTTCAGTACCATGTATAAATGAAGCCTTAGCTTCATCTATACATTGTGTTATACAATGGAGTTTGGCATGGAAGTTCTTATAATTACAAATAAAAACCCTGTACCCAAGCACTGGGCACAGTTTTTGTGGTGTATGTTTCTTTGTGGGTTGTAAATAAAAGTTGAATCCTGCTATTTAGTCCTACTTCAGTGCTTGTCTTTACTTGGGTGTGTGCTCTGTATCTCCAAAATACTTAAGAACTTGATAGTGATTTATACAATGTGAAATACTATGTTTTTGTGGGCATAATTTTCAAAATATGGCCAAATTGTGAAAGCTGTCGAATCATGGAATACATGTGATATTCAGTCTTTTACATTTGGTAGAGGCATGCAGTAACAGTAGAACTTGTAACTTTTACAGGCAGAAGTAGGTATCTGTGTAAAGATACTAAAATAAAAGAAAAATACCTATGTATGAAACTTGCCTGTTTAATACACCATTTGCCTAGTATTCCACAGTGGTGTGACATGCACCTGTTGCTTTATAGAATAGTACGTTTGTTTTTCAAAGAAAAGTGTAATATTTTAAGGAGTCATATGAAACAGTTATAAGAAAAAGGTAGGACTTCAAAGTGTACAGAGAGGCTTGTCAGTATCAAAAGTCGTATGATGCCAAATATTATGTAGATTTATCATAAATGTAAATATTATAAGGCTTAATGGTCTATGTTTACATCGTGCCGTTGCTAGTAGGCTCTCTAGGTAGAACATGACTTCTAGGTCAAGCATGCTTTGAAAAAGTAAACAACTTTCCAAGATACCTTGCTATTTAATTTATGTAACATATTTTAATGTAATAAAATTACCTTTTCACTGTTGACCTATTTAAATTTATAAATGTTTCTGTTAATTTCAGATTCTGAAAGGCTGTACTTATCTTTAATAGAAGAAAGTGTGTCTTATCCAATGCTGTGTAAAGTAGTAATAACATTGAATGCTTTCTTACATCATTCCTACTTTATGCTAATTTTTTTGAAGATAATATTTTATTAATTGAATTTCTGTTTTCTTGTAGCTGACAGCACGATCGCTGCCTTCCGTACAGTCTGATGAGAGACTACAACCTCTGCTTAATCATCTCAGGTAGCATAAGCAGAAAGCATAAATGTATTTTTTTATACAGATAAAACAATTTTATCAATAGAATGTTTTAGCTCTGTTTTTTCAGATGCCTTACCTATGAGATTAGCTTTGGCTGAAAAAAGTGGAAAAAAGTTCTTTCAATTTAACAGACACTTTAATTTACATGAACAAATAATTAACGTAGCTGGTGTTTTCCTGTTACTTCTCAGAAGAAGCAAGATCTGTAGCTTTTTTGTAAACTTTTTTAATACTAAGTGCAAAATTGGTAAGTTACTTTATGAAAAACTAAACAAATTCCAAATTGTGCTGCTTAGAATACATGCCTGCCTTGCTGCATGTTTTTTATGCTCTATGCCCTTTCTGGAAAAATTCTCTGTCATGCCATCAATGCTGAGTGCAGTCCTTTTTTCCTTTTTTAACGATGTTATGGAGAGAGCTGAAAACATGAACCAGTAGAGTGCTCTACAACACAGCTGAAAAAGCCTGCCTCTTTCTTAGGAGTGTATAGTATGTAAGATCTTTCTAGCTGCTTTGAATATGTTTGGGCATGAAGAGTAGGAAAAAATGCTTTTCTAGTATTTTTCGGGTTACACATAGATTTGATCTCTTTACTATATAGGTAATTGCTTTCTACTGCTTTATATGGACTGAGAGAGTTTACTTCCTAAGGTAGTATGGAGGAGGAAGGCCAGACAGCTAGAGAGAGATATCTATTGGTTGAGAATCGCAGAATAAGTTAATTTGGAAGGAACCTCTGGAGATGATCAAGTTTAACCCTGGCTCAAAGCAGATCTGAGTAGATTTGGTTGCTCAGGTACTTATCCAGTTGAATTTTGAATATTTCAAAGGGTACAAATTTACTTAAATATTGAATGTCAGTAAGGAAAACACTGCTTTAAAACATATACAACTCTTCCTTGAAATCACTGAAATGATATTGAGTGAGTTAGAAACGGAAGCAGCAAAGCTCCATCAGGAGAGCAATACACCTGAAAGCAGATCTGGTGAACATGGTGTTTGTCTCTTGTGGTGCTCTACTGCATGGTGTAACCATGCCTGAAATGTAGCATTTTTATTGTTTCAAAATACAAATAATCTCTTTACCAGCATCTGTTCTGTTTTTTTGTTTGTTTTTAATACATAGGAGTAGTTTCATGTCTTACTGCTTTTAGTGTAAATCAGAATAGGAAAAATAGCTTTTATTGTATCTCTGTTTATCTGTTTAAGGTTAAACTTTGTTTAAGAACAGTAAATGGAAAAATCATGAATGCATAACTGTTACATAACTGATTAGTGAATAATTCTGAATGCAGATCACATTCTGTGTTTTTATTACCATTCATCATATTGGCATTTTCAAAAATACTCTTCAGTAGCACACCTTTCACCATTTAAAGCTAAAGAGCAATTAAGTTAGCTTTTTATAAATCATTATTTCTGAGTAATTACTGAGAAATTTAAATATTCTTCTAATACACGCTGTGCATCTGTATAAGCAGAACAGCCTCCAGTATCACAGCAAGCAGTCTTTTCTGCCTTCGCTTTTTTTATTCTATGGAGAACGGAAAAGTTGCAAAAAAGGCTAGTTTTTCTTAACACTAGCTACTAAAACTAACAGATACTTTATTCTACGTTTATGCAAAACTGTTTTTTGCGTATTCTGATATTAAATTGGATATATATGTTTAGCAGCTTGCTATTTACATTCATTTTACTTTTGCAGAAATGGAGGGGTTATTCCCAGTGCATTATGTTAGCAATTGAAAAAACTGCATGAGCACTTCCACACTGTCTATTTTAAAGGAACTTGCAAAAAGGCAAATACATTAAACCTTATAACTTGCAAAATGTCAAGGAACAGACAGGTGACCAAGTAGGTCTTTTCTGTTATTTCTGTGAATCTATGATTTGTTTTTACTTCATCGTGCTCATAAAAAAAAAAGGAAGGTATTGGTTGCAGGCTTTCCTCCTCTTTTGTGTGACGTTTCTTACAGCAGTATTTTATTTTTGGCATATGTCAATAGAGCTTTATCAGGGGAGTGAAAGCTTAAATAGAAAAGTGTGAAAAGAGCATACAATTGAAGGTTACAGAGCATTGTTTGGCTGTTAATGCATTGCACTTTTGTTGGCAGCTGTTCGTATCTTCTTGTGGCTTTTAAATTAGCTAGTCCTCAAAAAGGTCATTTTGCTGAGGATTATGTCTGCATAGATATTTTAATCCATGCCTATTTTTTTAATAGGCATAGCACATACTTTATATTTGGACTATTCTAGGCTAAATAGTTATTTTTTCTATGACATAGATGTTCTTTTTGTCCTATTTTGTTTCACTGGTGATTTTTAATACTAATTTTACTAGACTAAAAAATAAAGAAATAAAGATTATTAGTCAAAATGTATTTTATCTGATGTAAAATTGTACTTAGGTGTTTCACATGCTCACAGTAGGCTACAAGAAGACTTAACTTGCTAAAACTTTTCTTATTATATTTTTAGCAAACAATTAAAACTCATCAAGGAAGCTGTAGAAGCATCTGTACAGTGATAATATTCTAATATAATTTCATAGAAATGGAAACTTTGTCCAAATGCATGAGAACATTTCTCTTGCTTCACTATTCAAAGGTATTCATCTGGTTTTATGGTGAAATTACAGGATCACGACATTCTATTTAAAATCTGAAGCAGGAATAATTTCAAAAATAGACAAAGTTCTCATGTGTACTCCTATCAAAGTACTATAGGACTGTGCCTGTGCACTGTGCCTTTTTTTCTTGCACTTTTTTACTTGTTTTCTATTTTTTTATTTTCTTTTTTAGAACATGTGCTTATGTCTTTGTGTTTTGTATAAATGCAGTATGTGAAGTTACATCTCAGTTCAACTAACACTCAAAAAGAATGCATATGAGAGATGCAAACAAGGGCAAAAGGATACTGAGTAAGAATTGCTTGGATACTGAGGGCAAAGTGGCTAAGACAACCTGATTTTGTAGGATCGGATTTTTTTTTAATGGGTATCACAGCACCCGTGCAGCCATGTTCACCCTCATTAATGCTCATAAGTGTGTAAAGAAGAATGCACACCTTGGTACACACTACTGCCACTTCCAGTTTTCAACATCTGCCAAGTTGTAACTGTAGTAGATGGCATGCTATACTAAACACATCTATGAATGATACCGTTTGTCAGAATGATCCTACAGCTGTTTATTTGAAAGACTGAGATCCTATTCTTGGAAATGGGAATATGGTGGAGACTTCTTCATGGTGCTAACAATGTGAATGTATGTATGAGTAATCACTGGAGAAGTTATCTTCCAGCAACTGGAGCATCTTTGATAACTTAGTCCATATTTATTTTTAATTCTGTTTTCCTTCTCTATTTTGGGCACATCTTGATATATATAAATTCAGCTTTGAAATGGCTGTGTGATCATTTGTGTGGACCACTTAAAACAACCTTACTTGGTCAGACTGAAATACATTAACTGTAATGTTCTGATTCTGCTGTTGGTTGTGAACGTTTATGGATCATGAAATATAAGCTGAGAGTAAGCATATATATAGTACTTTCTTCCTCTACATTAGTCTCCTAATGTCCAACCGTTTCCAGCTTCCTTAATTGTTACAGGCACCTTCAGAAGCACTGGGTCTCTCTTCCATGAACTGCACTTGTTCAAGAGCTCTAGTTACTGCACATACACTTTGTCACTACAAAACTGGCATTTGGTAGTCTCACAATTTTATGATTCCACCTTTTTTCTTCCATTTATTGGGAGTTCAAATAGTTTGTCATGCAGTATTACAGGAATTGTAGTTCGGTATTGTAGGAAAATGCTACCATAAAATGGTAGTATTAATTGTGTGTTTTTTTCCTCTCTCAGCTGGTTTATCTTAAATACCTGTTTAACTATAAGGATATAAAGCATGACCATCTTACCATTTTTATGATGTTTTGGCTTTGTACCCTGAAAGTATAATTGAAATCAGGCAATTGTATTCCACTTTCTGTAAACTGTGTAAAATCAAAAAAAAATTTACAAGATTTTCTTCCTTGTATTTTTTGTATTCTTTTGATACTAATATTACATTAGTGGCTTAAATGTCTCCTAGCATTTTTTGCCCAAACCAATGTCATTGCTGTTCTAATAGTCAAATGAATAGGACCCAACTCCCAAAGTCAGTCAAAATGAGAATTTTTCCACTTATCAGGCTGAGAGTGTTTGAGCTGTTCAGAGTCTGAAAAGTATCACTTCTTCCTCTTTCTTTTTTCCCCCTTGGCATTTAGTTTTCTATCCTTACAGTAGATACTTTTTTTTTTTAACCATGTCTGGGCCTTTTAGCAGGATTCAGATCAGTCTTTTTAGCAGCAATGTCTAAAATTTTATTTTGTTCCCCTGCTGTATGGGAAAACTTTTGGGTCCTGTCTCTGTCTCCCCTTCCCTGGTATCCTTTCTACAGATGCTAGGAAGAAGCACTTTGCTTTAGCTTAGCTGATTTTTTCAGCACTGGTATGATTCCAACAAATACCAAATGGTATAAGCAAATGATCTAAAGTGATTGTATTATCTGAGTACTTTAAGAAGTTGCCAGTGCTCATCTTGGGATGTGATAACTGACTTGAATGGTCAAGACTTAAGCAACAGCTGTGTTCTGTTCTGTTTGGATTGTGATTACCTTAGGGACTGAGATTTTCATTTTGTTTGTAGTGTGACTAAGTAAAGGGATACTGATCCTGATACTGATCCGTTTTTACTGGAAAATTTGTATACTACTTTAGAATCAGTACCAATAGAAATGTTTAACTCATACTTTTATTTATCCATTGTTGTGGAATGAAAAAAATTGTGTTAACTACAGTAAGCTTATAATGCTCCAGTGTGTGCCAGAAATAAGACTAACGAACCAATGAATGCATTTATAATTAAACAAATGACTTGCACTGGTTGGTGGTAAAACCAACTCTTAACTGTATAATTTTCACAGTACAGTACTAAAGTATCACAAAATAAACAGTGATACAAGTTGCTATTGTTTAGGTAAATTTGTTTTTTCTGCAATTAATCACCAAGTGCCTTCAGAAGTTTTAAGAACTGATCTTTATAAGGTTCTTGCAAAATTCTGCTACCTCAGTGAAATTTGTTTTTACCCAAACTTTGCAGCTTCACTAGGTTAAAACTAATTTTTTGAACAAATGTTCTGTATGCTTTACTGCCTCTTATACTGCCAACCCTTGAATTTTCTTAAATTCTGATTTGGGCATTTGCCTCTTGGATAATGCAACCCCGCATATCCTTACTCAAGAAATCTATGTGCCTAAAAGTGAAATTTGAGAACTAGATGGTTGTATATAGTTTGAAGTGACTTGGATGACAGTGCATGGTTGTCTTTGCTTAATCGTAGGGTTACCTGAACTTAGCTAAGGTAGCATATGCGACATCCTGCGTTGTGTTGGCGAAAAGGCTTCTCTCAGGAGTTAACTTGTCCCTGTATGTCAGTACTGCAGTAAAAGCCTTCCTAGTTTCTTTTTTTCTTTTTTTACTTTATCCTCCCATTGGAGACTCATAGCGATATCTCAGTTTTTTAAAAGTGCTACTCAAGTAGCAAAGTACAGGAGTTTCCTGATTCAGTGAACTACGGGCTGGTCAGCCCCGGCTTGATCCCTGGGAAGGTGATGGGGGAAATCCTCCTGGAAGCAGTTTCCAAACACATGAAGGACGCAAACGTGACTGGGAGCGGTCAGCGTGAATTTATGAAGGGGAAATCATGCTCGACCAACCCGCCAGCCTTCTATGGGTGAAATGACCAGCGCAGTGGATGTTACTTCTCTTGACGTTAGTAAGGCTTTTGACGCTGTCTTCGGTAATGCCGCTGGTGTCCAACTGATGAAGTACAGGCTAGAGAAGTGGTCAGTGGTGTGGACTGAAAAGTGGCTGCACTGTTGGGCCCAAAGGGTTGTGAGGCAGGCAGGCAGTCGATGCGGAGGCCGCTCGGTAGCGGAGGACTCCAGGGGCTGGTCCTGGGGCCAGTCCACGTTGAGATGATCGTCGGCGCCCTGGACGATGGGGCAGAGCGCGCCTTCAGGGAGTTTGCGTTCCACCGGGGTTGTGGGGAGTGGTTGATGTGCCAGGTGGTTGTGCGGAGTTCAGTGGTTGTGTGGTTGAACGCCAGTTCAGAGGGACGTTGAGAGGCTGGAGGAAAGGGCGGAGAGGGGCCTCCTGAAGTTTGGCGAAGGGGAGCGCCAAGCCTTGCGCCTGGGGAGGGGGGTAACCCTGTGCATCAGGACAGGCTGGGGGCTGAGGTGCTGGAGGTGGTGCAGGGGTGGTAGGCGGTCACCAAGGTGGCCGTGAGGCGGCAAAGTGGCCTTGGGGCAAAGAAGGGCAAGAGCCTCCTGGGCAGCCTTAGGCAGAGCCTTAGGCGTTGCCAGCAGGTTGGGATCCTTTGTTTCTGCTCAGCCCTGGTGAGGCCGCAGCTGGAGTGTTGCGTCCCGTGCTGGGCTCCCCAGTGCAAGAGGGACGTGGAGGTGCTGGGGTGAGTCCTGCGAAGGGCTGTGAAGATGCTGCAGTGAGTGGATCGTCTGTCATACGAGGAAAGGCTGACAGATCTGGTACTGTTTATCCTGGAGGAGAGAAGGCTCATGGGGGATCTTAGTGATGTGCGTAGAAGCCTGATGGGCTCGGTCTCTTCAGCCGTTCCCCAGGTTTTTCTCGGGGGTGCCCGGGGAAAGGAGAAGAGAGGCAATGGGCACAAATGGAAAGAGAGGCCATTCTGTCTAAACATAAGGGAAGATTTTATTTTTGAATGATTATTATTTTATTTTTTTAATTTTTTTTTTTTACTGTGAGGGTGGTTGAACACGGGGGCATGTTGCCCGGAGAGGTGGTGGAGTGTGCGATCTTGGAGGTATTCAAAACCCAGGTAGATGAGCAACCTGGTGAGGGTGACCGAGCTTTGAGCAGGGGCTTTGGACTAGATGATCAGCAGACGTCCCGTCCAACCTTGACTCTTCCATGTGATTCTGTGATTCTATTCTGAATTACTCTTCCCCGCTCCCTTTCGAGTTACCGTGTTGGCTTCAATGTTGTTTTTATAAATCTAAATTATTTACATACTTGTCAAATACTGTTTTCTTGATTTTTTTGCCAACGTGTGAAATATTTATATCCCTTAAAGTTAGTTAAATAATATCTTCCTGAAATTTTAAACTGATATAAATTTTTTTTGAATGAAGTGATATATTTAAGTGATGTTGTACCGTTTGCTTTGTTTTTCAGCCATTCTTATGTTGGTCCAGATTACAGTGTACAAAAAAACGCTGGAAAAATTTCTCTAGAACACATTGATGCTGTAAGTCCTCTCTTTTTATTGCAATATATTATATGGTGATGCCTACCTCTTTAAAATCAGATACTCTGTCTTTACACAGACAACATTATTTCCTTTTTTTAACATTCAGTGCAAGTTTTATGACTTAAGAACTATTTGGATGAAATTATGATAAACTTTAAAATGGAACAAAATTAATGGAAAATGAGTCTAATCAGGATTTAGAATGGAGCTATAATGAATTGCTTGATTTGCTGCTTAATTTTGTGTGCTTTCGTGACTACCTAATGTAATTATAAACAAAGAGTTTAACACTTTTTTACTTAATTTTGCAACTCATGTTTAGTTCATAGTTATTGCTGTGCAATATTTGTCTTTTTGATGTTTTCTGGACTTTTCACTTAAGACTTTTTTTGAGCAGAGAAATAAATGAAATTGATTGTAAAATTGCATCAAATATGCAGAGCCAATTAAAAACACACTTCAGATTACCTGAAGTTTAGAAGTTGTGTATTTTGTTAGTGTTTCTTAAATGTGGCGTAGTCCCTTTGAAAGTGAATTCAATGGCTAAACTTAGCTGACAAAAATAAAACCCAAATGCGAGTAAATTGATGGATTCTTTCTCTCTGATATCTTACATTATAGAAAATAATACGCTTAATGGAAAAATTCTGCAGATCAATTCCAATGGACTTTACTCCTGCTTGTAATTCTTCAAAGGTGTTAACACCCCTTTAAATCCACCTTGCTGTTCCAGAAACTGAAATAAAGCAGCAGCAGCATTATAGTAGAACTGTGATTATATCTTTCCTGACAGCAATTAAACCTCTTATACTTTGTAATATCGGAATCTCTTCAGTTACAATCTGTGTTACTCTCTTTTGTTTTATTATTGGATGATTATTGGATTTGATAGCTGAAGGATACACTTGTTATCTTCAGTCCAAAGGATCTCTGCACATGCATTTATTTCCATCTAGCCATTGGCATTTTCAGATGGATCTAATTAGTAATCACAATACGAATATGTCCTGCAAGTAAAGTGGACAATACGTCTTAAACATACATTTTCCTCTTGACAGCTTTCTGTGAAATCATTCCCTCTTTGTATGCGCCAGTTGCACAAAGCCCTGCGGGAGAACCATCATCTCCGTCATGGAGGCCGTATGCAATATGGGCTGTTCTTAAAAGGCATTGGTTTAACTCTGGAACAGGCACTGGAATTTTGGAAGAAAGAATTTATTAGAGGAAAAGTGGATGCAGACAAGGTAATTCAAGAAATGAATGATATCTAAATATATGAATGTGACGGTGTATTTCATGTATACTTTGTGCTACATATAGGAATAGGTGCTTGTTAAAAAAAAATGCTAATATCTTAAGTTTTTTTTCCTCATTTTGATTATGATTTTATTCTTTTTTTGTCATTCTCCTGAAGCATGGGAACTCAAATCAAGTCATTAAATGAGAGGCTTTTTATAGATCAGAACTACAAAATCTTATTTTATCACTAAATCACTAGGAAGTCATGTCCTTTATGAAATACAAGTACTATGTGACTAAATTAATTCATTTCACCAAGCGGGTAAGTGGGCCACAAAGTATTTGTACTATCTGATAGTCAAGGCTAGTCTTTTCTGTTAGTTTTATTAATAAAAATTAATTGAACTGCTGGTTGTGAGGTGAGCTTGCCTCAGGAAATTTAAAGTCTCAGAATAAGAGAAGAAACTGTAGATGAATGCAAACAGAAGAATATGTTCAAGAAAACAGTGAGAAAATGTTGTTCAGTGTAATGAACAGTATTATTGACATGTTAGTGGCCTGACCTTTTCTTCTTCATGATACCCTCAAAAATGAAAGGAAGTATAGCATACATGTAGCCTCTCTGCAAGGACAGCATGACAAAACATATGCTGCCTTTTTGGGTGCTGTGACCTGTTTCTTACTTTAAACAATTTAGGTAGAATCAAGAAGGCTTCCTGACTGATCTGCCTGGCCTGTGGTATGTGACACTGTAACACATAGGGTTCAAGAGTGTGTTCTTGGAGCAGATGTTTCAGATCTTATGTCAGTTTCGCTTGAGCTCTGTTTTGCATTTAATGTTGTGAGACACTAGCTCTCCAGAGTACTACAAAGTATTTTGGAGTGTTTAGTAGGCAATTTTTTATTAGCGTAGGTTCTCTGGGACTTGAATGTTTAAACAAGATACAGGGCTAAAAGTAGTACTGGCTGTAACAGATTATGGTATGTCTCTTTCTCTCTCGCTTTTTGCAAGTGCAAGGAGGTAGGTCGACAGGGCTGCAGTTTTTTTTAGGAGGCAGAAAGGGATTTGAAGATGGAATGTGAATGAAGACATAGGAACTTTTCTTAATCTATGCTCCTTTAATAGGACATGATTTAATGGGAAATATGTATTTTAATTTAAAAAAAATCCACAATGCAATCCTTTACAAAGGCTTCAAGAAAGGACTTGAAGAAAGGTAGTAACTGTAATGTTGCATTTGGGTACTAATTAGTTTCTAGCTGAATTCAGGAAAATGTAGATTCTTTCTGTTGCAATTTGCTATATTTAAGGGATATTAAAAGAAAAAGAACAAGCTATCAGAAACAATAACAAAATGCAAATATTTGTGTGTGTGCATGTGTATATATACTTATTATTTCTGTTTAAAAAGATTGTGACCAGGCCTAACTCAGTCTGCTTATGGCTTGGTACAAGGACATAGGTGTATACAAATAGATCAAGACGTGCACATGCCTTGTATCCTGTTTTCTGCACTGCATAGGTATAGACAGGCCTCTAGAAATGAAGTTTTATGGTTGATGAAAAAGTTGTGTGACCCTGTGCTGATTAGCTGTGAAAGTTGGAAAGCATTTTGTAAATGAAGCAAAGGATTGTAGTTACAGTATTTTTCATGCATAGGTCACTATTTCTATGTCATTTTCATATTTCTTCTGGTTTTCTAGATAGACAACTTCAGTCTCTTGGGAGGGGAGAAGGCTGATTTTTCACCCCTGTGAGTGAAGTCAGTGGTCTGTGGTTTTCACAATAGAAATTTATATAATGTATGCTATCCTGAAAAGTTAAGATGAACACAATTCTTATTTGTGCTTTCTTCTTTTGACGTTTTTATTTCTGAATCTCATGCCATTGTTCCTTTTCTGTAGAATGGGGATGATTATACTGTCTTGTCTTATTGGAGCGCTGTGAAGATATGTGCATGACACTTGATAAAGACTGAGGTTAACTATTCAGTACTGACGAATGTGTTGCAAAGAGGGAGGGTTTGATTTGCTATGAATGGTTACGGTTTCAAGATTCATATTCTGTCTTTAGTGGCAGTAACATTTATATCAGCTGTCAATGCTAAGACTTCTTGGCACGTAACTTCAGTCTTGTGTCCAGCAGGAAGGAACTTACTTGAACTCACTAGTGGTGCGCTGGAGTACATAACACAAGACTACGCATAGACACAAGGAAAACTTGCACCAAAATGAATACTCTCTGTTCTAAGTCACTGATGTAGGCATATCCCATGATTGCATGATAAAAACACTGTAGGAGAGTTTTCAAGAAGCAATTTGGCCTTCAGAGAGGGATTTGTAAATATATTGTAAATAAAGTATGAAGCTGTATATTCAATGATTAGAAACAACAAATAGGGCTCACAAAGAATGCACTGAAACTGGTAGTGATGTCTGTGTGGAGTAAGTGATCATGTAGTATGTGCTCCCAACAGAGACAAATGCAGAGTGCAAAGTAAAATGTGTTTTTGTTTGAAGCACCATAATTAAAATTGCTCTGCGAATTGCTAGGCTAAGAATGCATAAATGGTAGTTAGTTGTTTTGCAGATGATAGGATCAACTGTCAAGTGGTTGTAAATGTGTTACTTCTGAATGTTTATGCCAGTTGACTTCATAACCTTAGTGTGATTTTAAGGTATGATTTGTTTTTGCTCCTGTAAAATGTAATCCTACTCTAAGCAAAAATATTAATTACCGTATTCTTTAACATCCTGTTTCTTCATGTTGCTTAAAAAATAACTTTATTCCTAACTTAAAGTGGTGAAAAGCCTGCCATGTATTTTAAAAAAAATATTTGAAACAAAAAATGTGAAGAATAAGATGAACCAATAGCAAGACGAAATTAAATGATTACAGCACACTTCTAAAAATGCTCTGAGAATTGAAAATGAAATCTACTTTTATAGTAGAAGTCAATGTTTCTTGTCTGTAATTGTTTTGAGATCTATTTGTATGATTAGTCTGTGAATATGAAATCAAAGACTTGAAGATGAGGTGTTTAGAACGAAGGAAAAAATGAAAACGGAATCAGTTTTTTTTAAGACATCATTCAATTATTGCTATACATAATAGCCTCGAATCAAAGTTTTGATACAGATGGATGATTTTTAAGTAATGCAGCCCATCATTTTTTGCTTTCCTTTGCTGCGATATTTGACACACTGTCTCATGAAAATGTTCTCTTCTAGTACTCTTATTAAGTGGCTTTTTACAGAAGAGACAATTGCTAGTTGTGCACTTTGAAAAACTCCTTTGATATTACTTATACAACAATGAAATTATTATTTTGTGTCAAATATGATACTGAAACATGTCTACATACTGTGCCAGAGCTTAATAAATCTCCAAATGTGTTTTAAGGCATTAATTGTTACTGTATTAACAGTTAACACTTTTAATTATGCTGATGACAGTTGTAGCTTATCTCATCTGCAAATGACCTCATCTGTTGCTTTTCCTGCTCGGTTTGCAGAGTTAGTATCTGAGATGATCTGAATGTGAAAAGCCTGTCTTCTTCAGAACAGCTTTTCTGTCCTTGTGACATGACTGAGAGCAAGACTTGGCTCTTCACCTCCTGCATTCTGGAACTCTGTCTCCTGAAGGATATGATGGTGGCATTCATGCTTGGAATGTCTCTTACTCTTCCTGACTTAATATTCCAGATAATCTTCCTCCAGTTTCATACGGCTTGTCTTCTGTAGCGGTCAGTTACGACTAGAAATGAGCTGGTTTTTCTCTAGCTGTCAGATATTTCTATCTGAGGTATGCCTCTTCCTCCCTTCCTGTCAGTGAAGATCTCATAACAGATATTTTCCTGGGAGAAGGAACGGGAAGACTCACCAGACTTAGCCTTGCTCAGGGTCATTATGAAGGGTTTGGTTCTTTAGTAATCCCCTGAAGCTCATCAGTAATGAAGTCTAGATATTTCTTCTGCACGTAATGATTGTGCACGAGACTGACAGGCAACTTGCAACCATATGCAGCAACAATAATCAAAGGAGAAACGTATATCTCCTACTCCTTTAAGAAGCGATGAAGCTTTGGGACAAAGATGTATCCCAAGTGAGATAGTTTCAGTGATTGAATTTCCTGGCTTGTCCAGTTCTTTTGGAGATGATCCTAGGAGGTTTCTGTATCTGGATCTGACAGTGAGACTTTGCCTTGATTGGAAGCACCTGGTGGTGAATGTTTCTACCAGGCCCAGCCAGAAATGCTATAGGGCAGTTCTTGAAGGTGGACTTTGGTCAGTGATCTCCTCTGAATTTACTTTTTACCTTTGTAAAAAGCCTACGCTATACATTTCACAGAATGATTGAGGTTGGAAGGGACCTTTAGAGATCATCTAGTCCAACTCCCCTGCTCAAGCAGGATCACTGAGAGCAGGCTGCCCAAGAGCCTGTCCAGTTGGCTTTTGAATATCTGCAAGGATAGACACTCCGCAACCTCTCAGGGCAACCTCTGCCAGTGCTCACTCACCCTCACAGTAGAAAGGTTTCCCTCGTGTTAAGATTGAACTGCCTGTGTTTCAGTTTGTGCCCGGTGCCTCTTGTCCTATTGCTGGGCACCACAGAGAAGAGTCTAGTCCCACCCTCTTGACACCCTTCCTTTCAGATATTTATATGCATTGATAAGACTCTCCCCTTCAGTCTTCTCTTCTCCAGGATGAACAGGTCCAGCTCTCTCAGCCTTTCCTCTTTACTGGACTCTCCCCAGTAGTGCCATGTCTCTCTCATACTAGGCAGCCCCACACTGGGCACAGGGCCAGATGTGGCTTCACCAGGGCTGAGTAGAGGGGAAAGAAAGTCATCTGCTTCTCCTGTTTTCAAAGTGAAGAGAGTTTCTGGTTCTCAGAATGTGGTTGACTTCTGTAATTCTCATCAGTATCAGGTTGGTATTCACTAGGTAGATCTGTGAAGTGGACTTGATTCTTAGCATGTTTGTTCACCTTATCTTTCCAGTGCT